ACAGGATAGGTTGCTTTTGTCTGTTTTATATAATTGGATTAAAGTATTGTACTTGTAATCTGAATCTTGAGTTTTAGATACTTCCCACCAGTTTTGTTTTGTTTTTTGTTTTTACTGTTGCTAATTTAGGAGGTATATGTTCCACAACCAGACTCCCCACTTACGAAGGAACTCAATAACAGTGTATTGTCCTTGTATGAGGAAATTTTTGGATTTTATAAACTTTGCTTTCAAATAAAAGGCCACGTAAATCATGTTTGGACCCCATGGGCAAACATGTTTAAGGGCCTGGCTTTTTGAAAGTTACAAAAGAATAATATTGCTAATGCTAGTCAATAAATAAATTGGTTGAAAGCTTAACTAAGTATATTTTAACAATCTAATTTGATGAGGAAACATGTTAAATGAATGTAATTTCTAATCACAAAGAGAGAATGGAAGTATAAATTAAGCCCTACAGTGCAATTCTGCAAAGCAAACACTTCTCATTGTCTACTTAAGAGTTGAATTTAGAATCGGAAATAAAGGGATGTAGGCATTTGAATGAATCTTGGGTAGCTGGGTAGACCTGCCAGTTTTTCAGTCAGCCTCCTGTGAAAGTAAATAAGAATCTTAGCTAGAATACTACACCTTGAGAAATATCATCCTTTATATATTGAAGGCTTTTCCAAAAAGGATAACAAGGGTGTGGTGCCCAGAAAAGGTACAGAGCAGAGTGAATGAAAAGGAGAGTAGTGTGATAAAAGCAGAGAGAGACCCGATCCTGTAGGGCCTGAGATAAACTGGAAATCCTTGAAGGGTTTTAATGAGAGAAGTGACATGATCTGGCAATTGTTTAGCAAACACGCTGGGCTGGCAATTATTGGAATGGGCTATTGGTGAAGTTAGAAGCTGAAGTTAAAATAATCTGGGTGACAGATAATGGTAGGTGGGATCAGAATGGTAGCAGTGGAGGAGGTGAGAAGTAGTTAGATACTGCATATATTCTGAAGTAATAGTTCAATACAATTTCCTCATAAATTAGATGTGAGTTGTGAAAAGAAGCAAGGACTAACAGTGGCTCCAGGGGTGTTGGCCTGAGCTCCTGGAGTGATGGAGCTGCTATTAAACAGGAAAAACCTGAGGAGCAAGTTTGTGAGAATGAGAGGTTAAATTTCCCTTTTTGAAGAGATTACATTTTAAATGGGTATTAACTATCCAAGAAGTGTTGTTAAGTACACAGTCTAATAGAGGTTCTGGAATTCAGAGGAGAGGTTGAAGTTGGAGATACAAATTGGGAGTCATTATGTTACTGACATTTTTAAAGCCAGCAGGTTAGATGAGATCATCAAGGAAGTGTGTATGAAAAAGAGATGACGTGAAGACTGACGTCAGGGCCATTCCCACTTTAAGAAGTTGGGGCAAAAACCAGAGAAACCAGCAAATGAGAATGAGAATAAATGGATAGTAATATCAGAAGAAAACCAAGATAAAATGTTGCCTTGACAAGTTAGTGAATAATGCTTCAAATGCTGAAAATAAGTCAAATAAGAGAAGGGCTGAAAAGAAATACTGCTTTTAGCAATGTGGGAGTCACTGGTGATTTCAAAGGGAACCACTGTATTTGAGTGGGGGAGGCAAACACCTGACAGAAATGAGCTTAAGAAAACTGGTGAGGAATGAGTGCAAACAAAAATGAACATGTAGGCTGTAAAAAGTAGGTAATATCCACACACAATAAATAATTCCTGACTTTCTAGGAAAAAAATGATTTCTTCTTTCCTATAATTTATTTAAATGTCTTGATAATCTTTCCCATTTTATTTTTTTCCCCTACATTATTTTATCTACTTGTAATGGTTCACATTAGAGATTGTGGAATTTGATAAATTGCTTGCCACCAAGCCAGCAGGAAAAAAATTATTCTGTGTGCTCAGTTCTCTAGTGCAAGGAGCTAAGAGACTATCATATTGCTTGTTTTAATATTGAAAACAGAATAGTTTGTCTCTTCCAATGAGTGTTCTCCAAACTAACTACATAGTGTAATTTTTATACCTCTGATTTTTGGCTTTAGTTTTACTTTGGTCTCATTACTGAAAATGAGACTCATGCCCAGAAATTCTCCAAACAAGACCTGGGTTTTAAATAGAATGTTTAACTTGTAACTACAGTATTTGTAGATATAAGTAAGGTTATCTTACAGATTAAATGATTTTTTAAAAAGGCCAGTGTGTTTCACTTGACCTGCTTTGTTATAGTGCTCATTCACTAGTGGTTACAGAAGAACAGAATAGGTCAGATTTTTGAGAATTCCTATTTATATTGTATAGATGAGAGGATTGGATGAAAGGCTTGTTGCATGAGCTCACAAAAGAGCAATGTCTAATAGCATTAATTTGTTTTAAGCCCCATACTTTCAGTCTGTAGTATCTATGTTATTAATATTCTTTTCTGCCACTAATTTCTCCCATCACTCTTGCATTTAGATATTCATTTGCGTTCTCTAAATTGGAGAAACATGTGGTGCATTTCCCTGTGTAGCTTCTCATAAATCAGGAGACCTGACTCTGGCCCTAGTCTGTGTGTTTCTTTCATGCAGTGTGGCCTTGAACATAAAATGAACCTTTTTGTTTCTTCATCAACACAAAAGTATATGTTTTCACATTTGGAGAAGCAAAATAGCATGGGGGCTAAAAATGGGGACATTAGAGACAGACACCTGGTAAGCTACCTGCGCTACCTTAAATAGGACAAAATATTTCTGGCAACCCAGAAATATTAGTCATATTAATAAGCGAGCTTATACATGTTATCTTTAAAGCTATGGGGAATTTGATCATCTTCATAGATCTAATTTGTGCTCAATTTTTCTTTTCATTAGATCACTTCGTTTTCATCCTGCAGATAATGCATGTTTTTTGTAGCTTCACAGCTGGAAGTAAAAATTGACAACATATGGGCTAAATGTAAAGCACAGTCTTCTTTCATTGTTTTAAAATTATGCTTTCTGTTCTCCGCTCACCATCCATAAATTGGGTATTTGTGTGTCTATATTGAGGGAAAGGAGCAAATTATTAATTTTGTGAGTTCATAGCATTATCAGTATATGACATGATGACCTTTGGAATTATTAGGTACAAAATAAAGGGAAAGAAAAACATCCTGTTCAGAACAACTTGTGTGTATGAACTCTTCCTTCCTTACAGATCAGAGTTATTGGGCTGGAACCCCATATGGACCAATTATCTCATCCAGTGTAAAAGCGATGTTTTCTGGTCATAGACTCTACCTCTTGCCCTGGTCAGTTGTGTCCAAAAAGCCTGCTGTATGGCTCACAGGGAATTCCTAGAACATCCATGGCTCAAGCAAATTAATCACACCCCCTGGATGCAAAACAAGCTTCTCCATACTGATTATGTCAGGAGCACATATGGTGCTGTGTGGAGAAGAATATGTAATTCCAGAAATGGCTGCCATTATTCCCACAGTATTGTCCTTAGCACAGAACAGAGGTTCATAAACATTTTGTGCCGTGGATCACTTTGGCAATTTGCTTCCAAAGGAAAATTTAAATGCATGAAATAAAGTACACACCATTACAAAAGAAATCTAATATATAAAAATAATCAAAATATTAAAAAATAAAGATAAGTAGTTTATCAATGCTTTATATGACATTATTTCACAATTAGTTTACTAATTACCATACTTTCAAATTCATAATTAACATCAATATTTCAAAATATCTTTATTACAATCATATGAAGTGAAAATATATTGTGATTTTTCTTAGTGCTGACTCACCAGTATTGCCAAACATCACTTGCTTTGTTTTCTACCCTCTTAATTGATGAAAATGCTAAATTATAATTAAAAGAAAGAGCACAATTTTCTTTTAGAGGTTCAAGTTCTTGCCTCTGGATTGAACAGAGATATCTATCTGAACTACTTATAAATTTTCATGATCAAATGTCACTATTGCATCCAGAAAGCATTCCAGAATTTAATATAAAGTATCTAACTTACTTTGAGTTGATTTCAAAATGCAACAACTGCAACAATGAGGAAAACATAATAAAAATATATGATAGGGACTTTGAATCCATTTCAGTAAGTGTGTATACTATTGGCTTATGTCAATGATTTCTCCTAGAGTTTGAAGAGTTTCCAAAAATCAGTTGTGATGAAATCTTCCCTTAAGTAAATTTTTTGTATTGCTATATAGTAAGGTATTTTTCTTTTTAAACATAAAGTTAAGGAATGGTGTTTCTCCATTTATAACATGGCCATGTGGTGATTTCCTAAAAAAAAATTGACTGAAAATATAAATTGTTATCATTTTTAAACCAAAAGGAGAAAAAAAAGCAAGAAAATAAACATATATCTAATAGGTGAATGTTAATTTTACTTGAATAAAATATTTCTGGTTAAATAATATTTGAAATTCCACAGCTACTAAAAATATTTCATTGAAGTTATCTCTGTCCTTTATATGATGCTTTTGAGATTGATGTTCCAAGGAAAACAAATGTATTCTTAACATATTAATTTCATATATAATTCTGAATTATTTGGACATTTAATCATTAGTGTAGAATGAGTAGATGTGAAAGAGACAAAAATAGGCATAATGCTTTGAGTTATTTTTTCTGTTTTATTTAAAAATTTTGTCAGCAGTTCACTCAGATGTCTTCACTTCTCAATTTTCTAACTGTACTGAACCACAGTGATCTCATATAACAACATGTAATAACAGATTCAATAATTCATCACTGTGATTATTATTATTATTATTTTTAAATTTGCACTGGGTTTCAAGACAGGAGACCAAAAAATTGATGAACCCTCTCTGGCTTCCATTTCTTCATTTGTGTTGTTTAAGGGTATTTTAACTTTAAAGCATTTCTTCTTTCTGTAATGATAATCAGTTTAAAAGAGAATTCCCAAATGTAGCATGAAAAATAGCACTTCGAAAGGATACTATAACATAGAATTTTTTAACTTTCTTTCTGCTTTTCTAGGCTGAACAGGACAATGGTCATCCTCTTCCAGCATTTGCGAGTCTACATATTGAAATATTGGATGAAAACAATCAGAGCCCATATTTCACAATGCCCAGTTATCAAGGCTATATCCTGGAATCTGCTCCAGTGGGAGCAATTATTTCTGACAGTCTAAATTTGACCACCCCTCTAAGAATTGTAGCTCTGGACAAGGATATAGAAGATGTAAGTTAAATATAAATTTTGCTCTTGTTTTGTTAAGACATCTGTTGTTATATTTATGTCTGAACATTCCTGTTTGCAATCAGAAATACTGCAAAGGTATGGCTGCATGACCTATCGAATAGAGAACAATGTCAGTATAAATAAGAGTTTAGTGTTGTAATTTAATTCCATATCAAAGATATTATTGTAAAACCATGTTTGAATTCAGCAACTGTTCTTTCTCATTTTACTATTCAGTATAAGGAAGACATTGAATAGTTTATTTATAGTTTGATACACCAACAGGGCAGTCTTTTTTAATCAGGATTGAAACTGTTTATGTAATTGCTGGTAGGAAAAAAAGGTGGCATTGCCTGATGAATATAAAAAGTCATAAAGACAGCCCTGGAGTGTGATTTGGGGGACTTTTCTGATGGTATGTTATTAAAGAAAACAGTTAGGGCAGCTGGCACACTTACACTTCTTCCAGTGGCCATGCTGATGCCCCACACTTTCTCCACTCCACACATCACTGTCCTGTTTCTGTGTACTGACACTAGCTACGTGAGTGGGAAATGGTCCAAGCTGGGAAGATCAGAGAATTTTACTTCTTTAGCTAGCGTGATTGCTATACAAAGAGTCGTCGGAAAATCTATCCCAGGTCAGAGTCCTCCCAAGAACTGAAAAGGGAAAAGCAAAACAAAACAATGGAGCTGGAAGACTCTGGCATCAAGTATTAAAGAAGCAGAAATGAACCTGAAGCTATTTTAGCCAAGATGGCTGATACCATGGAGAAAGTCCACCATTAGTGGGAGAAATGAAGCTTGACAGACAAACACAGAGAGTCCAGCTGTGTTCCTGATTTTTAGGTTTGAGGTCTCCAGAGCTACATGAATCCCTGAAGATCCTCTTTTGGTTCAGTGACCTGCCACAGTATTTTCCCACATCTCTTATTTAACATACTACGTACTTGATCCCTGTGACTTTAGAAGTCCTGTTTCAGCCTTACGCTCTGTGGATGGGAGCGCTCTGCAGCTCTGCTGTCCAGCACAGCAGCTACTGGCCACATATGGCCACAGTGCACTCGAGATGTCACTAGACTGAAAGCGTAAGCTTAACATTTTCTTTTAGATTGATTTAATTAATTTATATAGTCACTTGTTGCTAATTGTACATGGCAGTTCTTGAACATCCCCAAAAATCTTATTGCACGGAGCTTTGCCATCAGTTTAGTAAATTAAGAGGGCACTTTCAGACTCTTTTTTCCTCTTTCTGAAAAAATTTTGTAAACCTTGACAGCTCTTGTGTGCACGCCACTTCTCACCAGATGTTTTATTTTACTCTATCTCCCTTTGCTTTCCTTTGTTCTCTTCCCACCTTTTTTGTGCTTAATCTCTCATTTCATTTCATCACGTTTTAATGGTAGCGGTCATTAAGTTCTCAGTACCTGCCAGACAATATATAGATGTTTTATCTTCCATTAACACCCTTAAATCTCACAGCAAACATAACAGATGCAATTTTCCATATTGTAGAAGGGGAAATTGAAGCTATCATAAATGACTTGCTATGATCACAGAGTTAGTAAATGGTGGAGTGGACCTTGAACCAAGGTCTATAGGAAGCATCATCCTTTAATTTAAGCACCAGGCTAGATAACCGCTGTCTCTTTATATAGTCTGACTATACTCTGACTATGATAACAGATGATAAATATTATAGACTGTCTTCCTAGAAACAGTGTGTATACAGACACAATTACACATCCTAATTCGGGGGACTTAGAGATCCCTGAAGTCCAGTTACATGAATCACAGGCAGAAAGTCTTTATTTGGTGAATCCTCACTAGGAACTTCACAGAGCCACCTTAACCAGTTTTATATAGGCTCAGCCGATATATTTTGCAGTTCTGGAAATATCCCACAAATGTTGGTGGGAATTTTATTTCCTTTTTTAAAAATGTGAATGCCTAATCATGCCTTAAGCAGTGACTAGTCAGTTTGAAAATTTTGAATAGTTTAAGTCACACCTTAATCATAGTGATTAGCAAAAAGTAAATCCTGAAGAAAAAATGCAGTGTAATTTTGCCATAGTAGTGAAATTTATGTATTTTTACTTGCTTGGTTAATTTGTATTATTTAATAGTCACATGCAAAGCCCTACATTTGCTTATGTACATTCTTACTTTTCTGGATTGCCATTCACTTTAAATTAAAAATGTTAAAATTATGTTCTAAGGGACTTTATAAGGCAGTGAGACTTACAAGGTACTGCTGAGGTGGGGTGGGGAGAACTCCAGGGTCTAAAATTTCGGGGAAATGCTACTTAGATTCCTAATCTTAGAGACTTATACTTCCAACTAGCCTTTCAGATGCTCTGTTTGAAAGGGTAGGGAAGCATACTTTGGATCTTAGGAGTTTATGCTTTGGAGTTAGACAGCACTGGGTTTGAGTCTTGGTTGTACTGTGTGAAAGTTACATAATACTGTGAACCTCACATTCACAGTTGCCCCAGTTTATTCAATCACCTGTGATCCGAAAAGGCTTGTGGTTGCAATCATTGCTACCTTGGCCTGGGACGGGTGGGGATGGACATGGAGAGGAAATTTCCCTCAGATGATGCAATATATATATATAGAGAGCATGGCATGTTTAATAGATTTTATAAAAATGCCAAGAAATTAAACTATGTGTATCTGACCATTTTTATTTATTATTAAGGCTTATCTTCTTTCTAAATTTATCTACAGTGAGTGCCTAGAAAGCAAATAAGTATACCTAGTACCCTAGGGGCAAAATTTTTATATCACATATAACTTCTACATATCTGTAATTTAAATAACTCCATAAAATATTAAACATAGTTTAATCCAACTGTGTAAACTAAGCAAAATGTTCTCTTAAGACACATTCCTCAGGAACTGATATAACACTTCATTAAACCACTCAGGTTTGAAACCCAGAAGTCATCCTTGATTTTTGTTTACTCACAACTAAGACATTTTCAGATTCCTCCAGTTTTGTCCTCTGAATATTTCTTGGTTCCCTTTTTTTCACTCCATCTTTGCAGCACCCAAGCTATTTGTCTCTTCATAGAATTGCTTCCTGAGATCCTTGCCTCCATTTTTTCTTGCTCAAATCCATCTTTCACTCATCTACTAGAGTGATTTGTTCAAAAGCTCAAATCTGACTATATGACACTTTTGCCTAATATACTTTCATGACTTTAATTTCCCTAAAGAAGAAAATTCATCCTCATGTACATGGTTTCCTGTTACTTTAGCCTGAACATTGATACTGGCTCATTTCCTGAAACTTCTTGCTTCACCTATTACACTGACAATGGCATTCATTGCTTCCTGGCTATGCCGGGCTTCTTATCTAATTACCTTTGTTTTGAAATCTTTCATTTCCATTACACAAGCTGGCTTAGACAATTTATGCTCAGCGTTGAGAATTCAGCTCAGGCCTCCCCTCATTCAAGAATCTTTTCCAGACTCTGCATTCTCAGTTGAGTTGTATGACTCTCCTTGCTGCCTTTCTCTAATGTAATGCTTGTGTCATTGTATGTTTCTTTCTCCCTCACTGAATTTAAATCCATTGAGGATAGGTCCTAGATCTTAATAATTTCTGTATGCTGAAGATTTAACACGGTTCAGAACTCAGTGTGTTGTAATAATTCTTAATGAACTAATAAACTCAGGCAGAATGAGGATGTCTAACATACCCATAAAAAATTACAACAATATTGAATTAACTCTTTCACAATATGTCCATCCTGGGGCTGGACAGCTAATTCCTGGAAAGCTCTTCACCACATTGAGTTGTAACCAGTCTTCTTGTAACTGATTCATTATTCTTAATATCTTTCATTTGTCATCACACAGAGTGAATCTGTGGGATAGTCATTAATATGTTTGAAGACAGATTTATGTCCTTCTGAATCATCTCCTGGCCAAGTATTCTTTATTTTTAAAAGTAAAACCTGTTTATTGCTCAGTTATTTAAAGATCCACATTAACACCAGAAAATATCAGGGCTCCTTTAGTTCACTGGCAAGAATTTTACTACATAGTAAATTCTTACTGTATTTGAATGTCAGAATTAGTGAAATTAATCAGCACAGGAATAAAGAATTTAAGAATAAATGAAAATTAAATATCAGGCATAAAAAGAGCAGTTGTCACAACAGGAGGTGGTTCTTTTGAATTGCTTCAAGAACAGCTATGCCACATGGCAAATGCCAAGAAAAGGAGAGACTTGGATGTATTTGTTCAAAAGTTAGGTTGTATTTGTTCCTTAAATTCCGTGGGATGTAAGACAAGGTTTTTAGGAATAGAATCGGAGATTGGTGACTTGTAGTGTTACTAGCAGGGTAGATATTGAGTCAGAAGGAATCTTAAAGGTCATGGTGAAACTGAAAAAAAATAGTCAAAAGTATTTGTACTAATGTTCCCTTTCTATAGATATATGGATATTGACACATGCATAAACAAATATATTTATATTATCAAATTTATATGTTTTTCAAATACTCTTACCTCATAGCTTTAAAATAGTTTGGAATATGGATGGAGTAGGTAATGTGCAAGGGTTTTAAGAGGCATGTCTCAGACCACTGCGGTTTCCATGGCAGAACCACTAAAAGTTTATTATTGAATTTTGGTTATAAAAGAAACAGGGAATAATAATCACAAAAGTTACCCATGGCTTGTAGAAAAGCAATGATTCACTTATACTTCCATGTCAATTCACACCCCTGTAATATAAAGTGTTGATTGTTTCAAACTAAAGGTATCTTTGAAATTTAATACAATGTACACTGAAAGTATAATGTACACATGTATACTTTATAAATATTGTCATGCTATCATATATATATTATTATGTTTGAGAATACTAAGAAAAAATACATCTTGGAAAAAGTTGCTACTTTAAATGCACTGGAAAATGTTTTTTGGTTGTTTACTTGTGTACAACTATATGTCATATGTATGTTTGTCATCTTTTATATTTACATTTTTTATTGTTTAATTTGCATATAGGTTCCACCTGGTGGAGTTCCTGTAGGTACCAGGTCTTAAGTTTGTGTTTGTTTTTTTGTTAATTGCTGTGGCTCATTTCTTTGTTCTGTTTATTTTCTACTAAAACAAATAAGCAATTATTTCATTATTGCTTATAAAGACATCTACAACCATTTAAAATTTATCTATGTATATATAGATGCAAATTAAATTTACTTATATCTGTTATTGGTATAGTAGAAGGAAATTGTGTAGAATCCAAGTTGCATGTCAACTTAAAGTATTTAATTATTAAATATTGTTCCAGCCCATGACACACATTAGTAATTCATCACCGCCTATTTTCTGAAAGATTCCAAGTTTGGAATCCCTTTTGAACAAGGTACTTAAGGTAACTACTGTCAACTAATTCAAACTGGCAGATGAGATTAAATTTTTGGCATATTTCTACAATACTTTTAATTTATATGCACAAGTATGCATACATATGTATGTGCACATATATTTGTATTTCTGTGATATATGTGTATATATATGAGGATGCACATACTCTTGTGTGTGTATTTTGATTCCCACTAGAAATCTAAAGTTGGTTTCAAAATCAATATCTGTCATGTTTGAATGCAGTATTTATTCTTTATAACTTTCAAAATTTTCATATTCATTTTCTTTTCACACTCATGTTTGTTTGCTTTTGCATTTGTATGTGTTTGTTATACATTCATTTTTTTCTATGCTGTGAGTGAATATCAGAGTTTATTTTACCCTCCAAGAAAATAATATACAAATAAATAAAGTAATATTTTATACTTTTAGTACATACTCAATGTATACTTTAGAGTAAAATAATATTATCTTATGTCAAAGGGAAAAGAACATTTATTAATCAGTCCTCTGTGTACATATTGAGTTAGAAAATGAATACTTATTTTAAGTAAATTTATAGATATAAGAACTACATAAAATCTGTCCCTGTGAGAATAATAAGACAGCATTATCAGACCATTTATAGTCACAATATACCATATCTGAAACTAGTATCACCCTTACAAATGAATTTAAGATATTAACCTTTGAGTGACAATTGTTGGAATGTTTCCAAATCTGCTTTCTAATTTTTTATACTTAAAGAAATACCAAGATATTAAATAGTATCATCTATGTATACTATATATAGATTTTTAAATGTTACTATTTTATGTATTTATTAACTTTAAAAACTATATTTTAATCAGAGATTAACTGTGCAGGATACTTTAAAATGAGCTCTAATATGCTTTGTATGATGATAGCTTCATGTATTTTGTTATATTTCTTATATACAACAAATAACCTGAAGTTCAGAGAGAAATATTATTTTAGTCTCGTTAGTTATTATAAAATGACTTAAAGTGGAGACAGTTCAATTATCAAAAGGTCTTAGTGTTTCTGGTTATCAAATGAGTCTGTTTATGAATTCTTTGTGTGCATATCATCTTCAAATGGGAAACATTTGACAATGGTTTGTGGCTTTCACAAATTGGCAAAATGAACAGTATTGTTTGTGACACAACCGTATATTATAACATGGTCACCTAGACATAACTATACACATTATTTTAAAAGTTGGAATAATCTATAAAAAACACCCCAACTCCCTGTATCATCCCTGTTGGGGTTTTTTTTCCAAAGCCTCCTTAGTGATCTACTCTCTCAATATTCTTTAATTTTCTCCACCTACTTTCCTGCCCCACTAGGCAGACACCAATCCAAGCCTACCTACTTTACATTTTTGGTCCTTCTCTGAAATGCTAATATTAATGCTTATCTTTCAGGAATGGTAATAAGATTGTGAAGGGTTCCCAATACTTAGTTAACTATCTCTGCTTTAACCTTTTATAACCACGTCCTCCTTTATGTATGTATGATTTTCTTCCAGACTCTTTTTTCAGACACACAATTAATTTATATATTTCCAATCTAGTCATTTGAAATATTTTAATTAAATATTACACTTTATTTTGGAGAATTTTTACAGCATTAAAATAAGAAAGAATGAGCATTATTTATAAGTAATGAATTTTACGTGACCTATTTTATTTCTACTTTATATTAAACTTGAGGACAGATTAGCACCATGTATATTTGCAGTTTAACACTACAAATGAAGTAACTATAAAGTCCTATAGCTACAATTCTGGGTGCCACTTTCCTTTTCTTGTGTTTCTTTTTATTTTTCTAGCCCAATGAAGTTCTCAAAAACTATACTAGCACATATTTCAATATTTTGCTTTCCACAAAATGAGTGTCTTAGGATAGTTTAACTCAATTATAAGTAAATATCTAGTTAATTCTCTCTTTAAAAATGAATACAGTGATGTATATTTTTATTTGAGAAGTTAATTTCCAGGTAATATGAGCTAATTTCCAGGTACTATTTCCAGGTAAAATGAACTAATAGCTGCATTATTTATTCACAATTTTAATTAATGGCATTTTTTTTTCAAAGACAAAAGACCCAGAGCTTCACCTTTTCCTGAATGATTACACCTCTGTCTTCACCATCACACAGACTGGTATCATTCGCTTCCTCACCTTACTTCAACCAGTAGACAGGGAAGAACAGCAAACTTACACCTTTTCGGTAAAGATATTTCATATATATATATATATATATATATATCTGTATGTGATAGAAAGAAATGTCTTTTTAAACTGAAAATTGAGAGGAAAATGCACTTTTTTCAAGAATAGCATAGAAGATTATCAATAATAAAAAATTCTTTACATGCATTTCTCCTTTTACTGTTCATAAGTTTGTTTAGTTGTGTTATTATTCTTTCCCATAGAAGGAAAATTATTTTTGAAATGAAAACAACAAAATGGGAATTTCATTCTTCACCATGCACTCAATTGACTTAAATTGATGTTATAATATAGAATCCATAAAGTATTGTTTCCTAACCTTTATTTTATTTTACTTTTTCATGTCTGCTTTTTTTTTTTCATTCTTGATTTTGTCATAGGGTTAGGTCAGTGGTTCTCAACTAGGCGTGAGGCCTGCCCCCCACCCTCTCCTTCCCCCAGGAACAGCTGACAATGTCTGGAGACATTTTTGATATTCACTACTGTGAGAGGGTGCTACCGGCCTCTGGTGGGTAGGCACAAAGGATGCTGCTAAACATCTTAAAATACATGTGACTGACTCCCACAACAAAGAATTCTCTGTCTCAAAATGTCAATAGAACTGAGATGGTTAGGTTAGGTCAAGAATCGTAGGATAGGTTAATCAAGAAAAAAACAAGGGAAAATTATTAAAGCTTTGATTGTAAATAGGTATTGAGATGTGTGTGTGTGTGTGTGTGTGTGTGTGTGTGTGTGTGTGTGTGTGTGTGTGTGTGTGGTGTGTGTGTGGTGTGTGTATGTGTGTGTGTGCAGTAGAGTTGAGGGCAGAATACAGATAAAAAGTAAGTTCTATTATCCAATTTCCTGAACTGGATTTTATTTGGATATAAGATAAAAATGAGCTGATAGAAAAGTAGAGGTTATGGGACTTAGATAGGAGTTCTTTCTGAAGTTAAACAGCAGACCCAGAGCTTCTAAAAAACTTAAAGTGACAGTTACAACTTAGATACAGAGTGGATTTCAGAAATTATTCTGAGCAAAGATAGTAGTGTAGCTTTGTTTACCAAACTGTCTCAAAATGTTATTATAATTAAGATATCACTATTAACTAATGCCAATGAGTCCTTTAAAAATTGCCATTTTATGATTTACTAGAAAAAATATTACATATTGAGGGCACTTACTTTCTTGCCTGGATATAAACATGTTAGCGATGAAAGCAACTATTGTGTTGTACACAAAATATGTAAAAGTGGAGAATATTTTCCTAACCATTTTTTAAAGATTATATAGCAGTTAGCTTTTAAGAATCAGCAATATTACTGACCTGCCTTAAGCCTCTAGGATATTTTACATAGTACACTATATATACATATATATGTATATATAGTATATAATAAATACTAATAAATAAGTTAATATATCTATACAGTATAGAATTAAATAGTTCAGAGTATTTAAAAAGCTGTCTAAACACCTCAATATACTGTTTATTTAAAATGTGCTTGGAATTTGATACGTTAAAAATAAAACAGAATCCTTCATAACTGTTTCTGCACATTAGAATTCTTTGATTATATGTACTATTATAGTTGTTCTACTTCCTTTAATCAATGAAACATTTTAGCACCCTTTTTAAACTGTAAATTACATGTAAGAAACTTCTTAAATCATAATAGTGAATTCTGTACTACTTATGTTTACACAGCTTCTCTAGTAAATGTATTTTTTTTATCCCCAAGATAACAGCATTTGATGGTGTGCAAGAAAGTGCGCCAGTTATTGTCAATATCCAGGTGATGGATGCAAATGATAACACTCCAACCTTCCCTGAAATATCCTATGATGTCTATGTTTATACAGACATGAGCCCTGGGGACAGTGTCATACAGGTAACTACCCATTTAATATGAAGATATACTCGAAGCAATTATTTCCATGGGCACTATACAATGGATCGGTTAAGAAATTGCTTAAGAAATGAAAATGAATTTCAGAGTTATTGGATAAGATAATTTTAAAAACTTTAAATTTGTGTTTGCCTTTCAAATAAAGGTATATCTATATGTACTTTAAAGTAGAAAGAATTGGTGATTAGATATAAACATAACTATTTGACCTGTTGATACTTGATTTTTTTAAATTAACATAATTAATATATTTGATTAATATATTAAATTTATGTAATGTGCTGAATTTTCAAGTATTAGACATGCAGTTTAAAATTTCAAGTTATTTTGAACCATTGTATAAGTGGGTTATATTTCCCTTGGTTATAAATATAAAGGACTGCATTAATAATTTACAGATAGTATTATTAGACATTAGTTACCTGGACATAAAATAGAACCATTAAAACAGAAAAAAATAAGATTAAAAAGTAAATGTTATCTTTGAAAACAGAAATCTGGCAGAGTCTTTCTCCTTATTTTCACAATTAATGATGCTTATTACATTTAAATAAGTTTTAAGTTATCTTAAAATCCTTTTTTTTGTATTCTGAGTATAAATCATAGAGAATTAATAATATCCTTCTTTGAGGATTTTTAGAGATCTGAAAAATAGTTCACTCTAGTACTTTCAAACTGGCTGTACATGAAAATTATCTAGGGAGCTGTTTAGAAATACAGATGACCAAGATTCACTTCAGCTTTCCTGGATCTGAAGCTATATGAGAAAATCAATATTAAAAGACAAACCTGAATAGTTTCAGTTGCCCAACCATGAAAAGACCACTGATCTATATTTTCCTCTAAATTTTAGAGTCAGATAATAATTTCAGGTTACCTCTAAGGCCAGGAAAGCCATGATTTGATATGATTTTTAGAGTATTTGAATGGTTCCTAGTTATTACTAAATTTCATATATGACATATATATGTATAGCTTCTATGTATAGTTTAATCACCTCCTCTTTTCCTTTAGAGTCCTTTCCTTCTAAGGAAGGATTCGTTAGTTTTCAGTAGGTAGTTCCTAGTAATTCTTCCTTAATAGTTCTTGCTCCTGCAACCCACGAGTAGAAATGCAGTAGTTTATAGCTAAGATAATGATACAGTAGTGTTTCCTCATCAGTGTAAGATATATAGGAATAGTTAAGAATATGCCTCATGGCTTTTACACTACTTTCAGTTAACCAAGAACACTCCTGTTACTCCAGATTTTACATGGCTAACTCATTTTCATCCTGTAAGATGTAGCTCCAAAGTCATCTCCTCAGAGAAAGTTTCCCTAACAGCTTTGTGTCAATAGCCTCGCAGTGCATGCACACACACATGCCTTCATTCACGTTCTTTGTCTATAACTTACCCTCTCTCCCAACTATTATAGCCACTGTGACCATCTGAAATTATCTTATTTTCTTCTTTCTTGCACCCCAAACTCCAAGAGATCAGCCAGTCATATTTGCCAAATGCCAGCACATGCCAGACCTATTAGCCATGCAGTAAATATATCCTCAAAGGATGAATTACTAATTTTGCATGATATAATTATTAATATAAATTGGAAATAATTCAGTGCTATCACTATTTTACTTATTGGATTAAGAGAGGCTTTCTTGAGTACTGTACGCAGGTGTGACCTTGGTTCTGGAAGTTGACCTGAAAGTATATCTCATGTGCGAATTGTCCTCTGCTGTATATATGCTAGACGGGGAAAAAGGTTTCAAACAGTCACCTTACTTTTTTTTTTTTCATATCTTGGTTTATGACACTTGTCATATTGATGAAATCCACCTTTCCACACAAATGTCTTGAGGGCAGAACTGTAATTAGTTTATTCCTGTATTCTTAGTATCTGTATCCATAGTGCTTCACATGTAATAGATGCTTAATAAATGTTTATTTGAGGATAATGGAAAGGAAGATGTGCAGACAAGTAGATTTGAATGAATGGGAAGACATAAATGTATTGGCCTTTATTTCTAGTCAACTCATGGGCCTAAAGAGCTACATTTATCTTCACTGAGGTACACTTTCATAGGGAGCCAAATTATAGTTTATACAGATAAAGGAATGCCAATTATTGTCATGTTCTTATTTAATTAGACCTGATTCTCATCTCTATAATAACATAATTGGAAATGAAAATAAGTTTATACAGAAAAACTGCCAGCAGGGACTTGGAATGTGTAACTAAAAAAATGATAGCAATTATGTGATGGAACCATATCTCAAAAAATGTTTGCCTTAGGGGATCAAAAGCATATTTCTGGCATTTCTAGGCTACAAAATTTAATTTCCCTTATGTATCTCTTTATAAAATTGATCTTATCTTGCCTTTAAAGATGCATATTTCATGTATTTCTTTGAACTATGCAGATTATGAAGACAGAGTGTTGTTTGTGTCTTTATGCCTCTGATTTTTAAAAAATTATTTCAATGCCGAAAAGGAAGCCTTATAATTTGTATTTTCAGTGTTATTCCTGGTGTGTGGTAAAAGAGTTGTGTGGCTATAAAACAGCCTCCAAGGGCCTAGAAATAAAGGGAAATAGATTTCCTATTGAGAGAAAACATTTAAAACAAACAAAATGTTTCAGGACTGTGATCAGCTTCTGCCTTTTAAGGGTCACAAAATAGGTTCTTATGCTTCACCCACCCAACCCCTCATCAATCATGCCTTTTCCCATTAATCCAACAGATTGATTAGTTTACTTTTGGTTCGTAATCTGATGTCAAAAAGAGTGAAAGTACTAGAAACAAAGAAGACAATGTATACTCTCCAGCAAAAAGAAGCTTGGATAATAGGCTTTAAGTACTATTATCAGATAATTTTTAATCTCTTATTTTCAGTGCAGCCATGAGACTGTCTCTACCCAATGTAAGCACATAGTTAGCTGAGTCTACTATCTTCTTATAAGGTAGCTTTCCTTGCTTACAAGAAGTGGGTATGTTGGTCATAAAGACGTGAGTAGCCAGGTCCTTATTAAAAGTGCTCATATAATTATGAATTGGTCTTCTAACTTTATCTATATCTTTTATGCTTTATTATTATATAAAAAGGAACAAAGTGATTCTGATGTATATGGTGCATGAACCACACTTTTAGAAGCATTGCCAAAAAGTGGCATCTGCCTCTTGTATAACTGGAAATGAAGTGTAATCAGATTATTAGCACATTTTGTGTTGCGGGGGAAGTTACTGGTATGAGTGAGAATGATTTTATGCCATATGAAAGCCCCTTGGTAGGTCATCACTGAAATCTTACAGGTTGATGATGATGGATACCAAGCTCTATTGCCTTAAGGTCTTATTTCTCACACATTACTAGTTTTCTTGAAAAACCGGTTGCTTTATATTAAAGATATAAATTTTGATAAACAATTTTAGTATTTTGAAGATGTAGATTTTAATGTTACTAGGTGATTATCTATTCCATGTTCCATAGATGCTATTGCATTAATCCTTACAGAATGTCAGAGTTCTACCTGAGGAACTTTAAAAAATACTGAGCCTGGACCCCACATGGAGATATTTTTATTTAAATGACCTGGCCACTCATAGTAACGTCACTTGGAGAGATTTTATTTAATAAAACCAAGTAGCTTTAATATGCCACCCACTGTGCAAAAAGATGCCTTAAACTTTAACTATTTTTGTTCCTCTTAAAATGGGAATCCTTGGTAGAAATATTCCGAAGAAAGAAGTAACAAAGACATAGCTCTCTGAGATGGAATCCCATCTGGAGCTGAGTCCTTTGATTCTCACCTCACCTCTTTCCGTTTTTCACATTCTCTAATTCTTCTGTCTTGCTTCTTGCTCCTCTCTTCACTTGTTTGAAGTCCACCCCTTCCCCTCACCTTAATCTGTGGTCCACTAATTATTCCATTTCTTTCCATTTTCTTTCACTACAATAATCTCTTCCTCTCTACTGATTCTTTCCCTTCGGCCTATAAACATTCTTAAATCTTTCCACGCCCTGGTCTAAACACTCCAGACAAAACCTCATTCTGTTATCCCACTCAGATATCACACTGATATATTCAGGTACTTGGATTGATAGAAAACTTTAGAGAATTAATTAATTTATTGTTATTCACCAATTTTATTTATCTATAGTTATATAATTTGGCTTTCCCTCACATCATAACACAAAAATCATATAAAATCATAAATCTAATGAGTCTATCACTAATTCTCAAATATAAAAGCTTTTCTCAGTCCTTAGTCTATATAAAATTCTCACTTTGTCCTTTCATAGAAAACATCCCTGGTTCTCATTCTACCTCCTGGTGACTGGTGGACTTTGGTGCTGGCTCCTTGTCAGTTCTCACTTTCTCCAAAAAACTAACATGAAGTTGTCCTCTATTTCATCTTATACGAGTTTTCACTCATCACCCCTATGTAAACTGTTGCCTCACAAAGTAAAATGCCCTGTGATGGCCTGAGCACCAGGCTGTCATTACAGGCATCTGCTGGACACGGCAGTGTAGGTTTTTGACAAGTACTTTGACAAGTACTTCAAACTGGACATATTCCGAGGTAAATTAACCAATCCATTATCTTTTTTTCTAATACAGAAACACACACACACATACACAGAGACTCAACCACACACATCCTGTCCTCTTTGGAGGCTATACTGTGAAGGGCCCAGTTAATCTGAGATTACACAGGCTCAGGCCAGCCATGTCAGTCATATTTCTTTTCTCCCTCCTTCACCTGTGTATATCCAGATGATTGTCCATTTTCTGAAACTGCTGTTTCAAAATGTATCTGTCTGTTATCATTTCCTTTCCCATGCCTGTGCACTGCCATAATTTAGGCTACTGAAGTAAACTGATTGACAACTCTACTTCTGTATATTCGTTACCCTGCTACAAATGATTATTCTGAAACAAAAGTCAAAGAAGATCCCCATACTCCTGGAAAATTTACCCAAGAAAGAGCCCAGTC